ATTTCATATAAATAGCTTTTATATTCCGCTGGGGTAAAGTGGATGAAAAGGATCTTGATCTAAAGCTAATCTAAATGCATTCCCTGCCCTGTTGTAAATAAAATCAGTTGAACCGGAAGCTCCCCTTCTCCTTTTTATTTTATCCCTGTCATCTTTCCACCTCGCCGTCTGTCTCTCGGCTTCTTCAAGGGTCTCTTCACACGTTTACCGCTTTCCTCTCGCTGTGCTGTTTAACCAGCCATGCCAACGGCTGCAAATTGAGAGTGTTATTTGGTGTTTGGGCCGTCATTTTGTTCAAAGAGCTGCCGCTGGTCGTCTTTTGTGATAGAGGCTCTGAAAACAATGACAGATGTACTGAGACGAATGAGTGGCGGAAAAGATGGAGGCGTCTGTGAAGGCAGACTATAAATAAATCTACAGAAAAGACAAAGTACAGGAAATAAAAGAGGGATCTGCTAACACAAGATGGACATGCAATGACACACCATCAAGTGTCATAATTGTCCTTTCCGTAGGTTTGCAGGTGGAGCAGTGAAGTGTTTCCCATTTGCAAATGGGCTTTTCATTAAGGTGATTACTGGTGCAAATGGGCCCAAAGCCTAAGGATTTGCTCGCAATGACAGAATTAGCGAAAGCTCCTCAGGGATGCACAACAACACATTTTAAACTTAATCAAACACACCTGAATCAAATATCTAGCAACTCCAAGACTATAATATATGCATTATAGCGGATATTTGTGTGCGCTTTGTACAAACGTACACTATAGTTTTTTTTGCAGAATGAAATGCCATTTATATTTATGTTTCCAATCTCAGTATCATCAGGTTTCCATCCCAATGTGAAACAAATCTTTTCAAAGTTCTCGAAAAAATTACACATCAAGTGCATTTACAGCAAGTCGTTAGAGTGACTGACTGTAGTATTGGTAACCTACTAACCAACAGTAAACAAGACATGTTTACATTATGTTCGCTATGTCAGAATTTATTCAACAAATATTTTTTCATCTTTCATTATTTTTCAGAAAAGTCCAAATCCAGCTAAAGCTAGTGTAAAAAAAAAAAAAACATTGCATTCAAAATTTGGCATTTAGGTCATTCATTTCTCAATCGATACTTAAATTAATAAGCATAAACACAGGGTGATGGAAACCCAGATAATCAATCTTATGAGGCTGCAGGAACAAGGTTATTGTAGGATAAAGTTTACCCTACTTAAACACACCTACACCACATAATTAAGGTCTCTCCAGAAACAAACTACATGACATTGTGCTGGAGATGGCTGGAACTAAATGTATAGAACAGGGGCAGAATTCATCTCTCTTCTCTCTGAGGAAATAACCCTTGAGGACATTTTACTGACATTAATCCCATCAGCCACAATCCCTCTAGGCGGATCTAGTGTTATATGTTTTCATTCAAGAATAGACATAGGTTTTTTTCTTCTGATGCCAAATAGAAATTATTATTATTATTTTGTTAAATGCATGTTTTTTTTCCACTCAGTCCAAAGATTTTACAATCATTCTAAGATGCTCTAAGATAATTTGCCCCATCGTTTAATAAGACTAGATTTTAAACTCCATAGGTTTAACGTGACTAGGGAGACTTTGATGAGAAGTGAATTTCATGTCCATTTTTAGATTAGAGCCAGCAATAATTTTACACATCCTAACCAGTTCATATATACAGTTTACTAGAAGCTTCTTGGCAAGTGTGCTGTAGCTGGATGGAGCTAAGATTTATGGGACAGTGGCCCTTTGGGAAAATAATTGGACACCTCTATTTTATCTACTACCTAGTTTAAAGGGTTAGTTCACCCAGAAATTTAAATTAGACCATGATTTATAATACTAACCCTCAAGGCATCTTAGCAGCATAACATTCTTGGTTCAGTTGAATCCAGTCTGAGTTATTTTTTTAAAAGATCTCCACTTTCAACCTCTACAATGGCAACATCCACCAACGTCCAACAAAGCACATCCATCCATAATAAAAAGTGTTTCACATGGCCCCAAGGGATGAATTAAGGTCTTATGTAGCAAAACAATGCATTTTTGTAAGAAAAATATCAACACTGAAAACTTTTTATCCAGTTTTGTCAAACCTCTGCTAAATATCATATTTGCATGTACAAAAGATTGCTTTCCTGTTGGATGACTTAGGATGTATGCATATTCCATGTACATCAGCTATATTGATCACTTTTTTTCCTGAAATACAACTCGGAGTCGTATAAATACTCCTATTATGAGTAAGATGTAATGGATTATACCCTTCCATCTGTGCAACAATTCAGGATTTGTATAGCTCTGTACATTTTGCTACGCTAGTGCAAAACTCATGATTTTAGTTCCAGAGAACACATGTTGTTAAAGTGAGTACCATGAATAGACTCAAAGCCTCTTATTCCAAAGCCCCCTTTCAAATGTGCCTGTGTACAATTTGTGAACTGGAACAAGGACAATTATTAAGGACTATCTAAAAAGTTCATACATTGCCCTTCATTAATCCTGCTTTTAATTGGTAATGTTGTCATACATTTTTTTATGATGACACACATAAACTGACACTTTACTTTTTTGTTATTTTTAGAGGACGCTTTCCTGATTAAGCACATCTAAACCAGCTAATCAAGGCCTTCAGACTCACTAGAAACTTTTAGACAAGTGTATTGAAGCTGAACTCTGCCCGGCAGATTTCATTATTCTCAACCGAATATCTCCTTAGAGTAGAACAGGAAGTGTTGAAGTGAAGAACTAATCTAGGACCATGTAAAGAAAGCTAGCAGTCAGCCACAGAAAGTGCAAAGTATCCCTGCCTGTTCAAATGTACATGGAGTGGAACTGACCAAATGGACTGATTGCATAATAAAAGAATGTGCTCAGACAAATCAGTCCTATATCCAAAGGTCCTGCACCTAGGTGTGTTCACTGCATATCACATGGGCACACGATAAACTTGTACCTCCCAGCCAGGAATTCATTATTAGGACATGATACACATTCAAGTCGTAAAACAAAACACGTACACTCACTTAAAAGATGTTTTATTCTTCGTGGCAAAGTGCTAAAAACATTCCCCAGAGATTATTGTTTGAGATGATTGATGGCAGACTCTTCATTTTTGACAGAACTGCGTCAAGTCTGCAGCACTGGTTTGCTTCTTCCTTGGAAGTACTTAAAATATTGTGTTTTATGACCTGCACAACCAAGAATTTGGATGGATTATCAAATGTTAACCTAATTCTTTATCTTTATTGAAATTTTATGTATGATTTTAAAGTTAATCTACCTTAAATTACAAAACAGTAAATGGTTCAGAAAGGTAAATTTACCCAGTTTTTACTCGCATTCACCTTTATGAGTTAAAATGAGATAAAGATTCTTAGAAAGCTGTAACCATTGACTTCAGTAGGTAAAACAAATACTTTGGAAGTCAATGGTTGCAGGTTTCCAACATTCTTCAAAATATCTTCTTTTGGGTTCAGCAGATGAAAGTTATTTTAATTGAGAAATGTAATGTTGCTTGTCAACTGCAGGGGGCGATGTGTTTCTCCTCTGCTTGTATAGTTGCCACATTATAAACTAGCCATTTTTTCTTTTATTACTGTGAGAGTGTTTTTTCCTCTTCTATCAGCAGAAATGACCCTCTGTGTGCCGGCAGTCACAGCTGCCCTCAAGGACATTTTTTTCTGACATCTTTTATTCAATTAGCCCCCCTCACAGTCTCTCCACACTGATCTTGTGTTGTATGTTTTCATTCAACAGGAGGCTTTTGGTTCACAAACCATTTCACAACCTCGACACAGGCTTTTGTGTTCAGAAGCCTCGTGGAAATTGCTTATTTTTTCTGTAAATGCGCCTACATTTTCATTCAATCTGGAGATCTCACAATCATTCGTGGACGTTCAATCTCTGCCCCATTATTTCATAAAAATAGGTTTTAAATTCCATTGGGGTTAAGGGGGTAAGTGGATCTTGATCGAATGGGAATCTAAATGCATTTCCTGTCCGTTCTAGTTTAGAGAATTTCAAATGTGAATAAAACCATTTGAACTCCAAAGCCCTCTTTCTCTTTTTCAGCATCCTGTCATCTTTCCAGCTCTCCTTCTCTCTTTGGGCTCCTTCAAGGGTCTCTTCACACGCTCACCGCTCTCTTCTTGCTGTGCTGTTTAACCAGCCATGCCAACGGCTGCAAATTGAGGGTGTTATTTGGTGTTTGGAGCCGTCATATTGTTCAAAGAGCCACCACTTTTCTTGGAACAATGACAGATGTACTGAGATGAATGAGAGGTGTGAAATATAAAGAAGAGCACATGAAGGTCACTTTAGAAAGCTTTTGAGGGTGGACTTCTTGGGATGAACAGGTAGAAAACACCGCTTCTGTGAAAACGATTATTATCGGCTCTGTTGAGGCTACTGCACCGTCTAGTGGTGCAGAGGTGCGTGAAACTGATTAATGGTCTTGTTTGATTCAGCACCATGGACAGCAGCATTCAAAACACCGGTGCAGCTCACAATGTGTAATAGTGATGCGGAAAACTTGGCAGGTACTTGTACTGATTGCACATAGATTATATCTGCTGAAAATGAAGACGATTTTGTCTTCTTACGGTCCTAAACGAATTAATCATAACACATCTTTTTTTTTTTTTTTTTTGGTTATGAAAGCAGACATGTTCTAATCAACTGTGTTGAAAATGTGTGTACGATTTTGACATGGACGTGCCTGAAATACATGTCTATTTTCCCCTTTATTTAATTTGTTGTAAGTTATGTGGTTCTGTTTCGTATTTGTGCAACTCAGCATTCTTGTTTGGATGAAAGAGTCCCATCAGCCTGTCTGGATATTTTGCTGTTTAATTAAATGTGATTTAACTGAACATAAGATTTAGAAGCTATTACTGAAGTGAGTTTCTCTGAGAGAGAGAGAGAGAGAGAGAGAGAGAGAGAGAGAGAGAGAGAGAGAGAGAGAGAGAGCGCACAGCCCACTGGCTGAAAGGGAGGATGCAGCAGCATAGATAGAGAAGCAGGGCTGAGGATGGAGGATAGAGAGATGAAGAGTGAGAACAGAGATTCACAACACTCTCTCCACTGATCATAGCAGGTGCTGGACTTTCATCCACATCTCACCGATGTCCGAGGAGAAATGGCTGTGCGGTAGGACCCGATGAGCTCCAGCATCTGACCGAACGAACTTCAGATTCTCTTCCAGTTTCGAGCTCATCGATCAGCGGCTCTTTCATTCTGTCCCAAGCTTTTTTCGCGGGATCTTTGCGGCATTTCCCGCCTTTAAATCAGCGTGAGCTGCAGCGCACGAACGGAGGCTGATGATGAATATGAAACACATCAGATCGGGCATATAATGGGCATCGAGGACACGGGCATGAGGAACGGACGGGCTCTGTCCGATCAGTGGGCCGACAGCGTGGTGGTCCGACCCCGGACTACCGAGCAGCACATCACGGTGCATAAGAGACTGGTGCTGGGCTTCGCCATCTCCATCCTCACCCTCATCATCGTCACGGCCATCGCCATCACGCTCAGCGTCAGCTTCGAGAGATGCGCCGCGGAGAGCAGCGGGGCTCTGGCCGCCAACGGCTCCAGCAACAGTAAGTGGAAACAGTCCCGGGACGGGAACATCAGTCACAGAGACTCGGAGGACGGCCAGCAGCCCTGGAGACACCTGCGCTTACCGGCCACCCTGCGCCCGCGCCACTACGACCTCCGCCTGACCGTGCACATGGAGAACTTCAGCTTCTCCGGCGAGGTGAACATCGAGTTTGAGTGCGTCAACTCCACCAAGCTGATCGTGTTGCACTCGGACCGCCTGGAGCTGGACAAAGTGCTGGTGTTTTCGGACAGTAAAAAAGCGGGCGCCATGCGGATCCAGCGCCGCTTCCACTATCAGCCCAAACAGGTGTATGTGATCGCGCTGCACAGAGAGATGAAGCCCCTCAGAACATACAAGATCAACATCACCTTCACCGCGCACATCGAGCACGAGCTGCTGGGCTTCTTCCGCAGCTCCTACATGCTCAATGGAGAAAGAAGGTAAAATCTGTTTTTAGTATCAGTTTTAAAGCCTCTCATAAGGTGTCATCTTGCTCAGATTTACTAACAGTTACCATGGGAACGACAGATGCTGCATGGTGTTCATATGTGCATGTAAGCATTACTCAGTTCCATACTTGTTTTAGGGCTAATTGCACCGGAATGCCTAATAGAGCAGTACATTTCAACAGTAGAGCAGAACAAGCAACATGGGATCTCAATCAAATACAGTAGACCTTTTACTGTTCAATCTTTCATTATAGAAGGATCAATCTTTTTGGGGAAAATACACATTTAATTCTGTTTGAGGTTAATAGTTATCTGTTTGTTTTGTGAGGGAATTGTATCATCGTGAATGGATTTTTGATGTGTTATGAATAAGGCAAATCAACTGTCAAATGCAACACAGTGGTGACAAGTTTTACAAACGCATCATGTGCTTAAGAAAAAGAAAAAGTTTGGGCTTTGGCAGTCCACCTGTAACTTTTAACATGACTATTTTCCCCCGATGTCTGTCTGAGACAGAGCTATTTGTAATCCTTCATTGAAGTCAGAGGTCACACAGATGTGAATGAACACTAGTCAAACTTGTCCTGCAGTCACATCAGTGTCTGATTCTACATTCAAAAATTATTTTACTGTAAGACATTGAGACCGAGTCATAAAAATTCACACATTTATATTAGGGTAACCTTAAAGGAACTATTTAAGTGTAATCATGCAGCTATACTGTTATTCAGTTAAACAAACAGTAATATTAAACCATGTTAATTTTTGAAAATATTCTACTGTATGTAATCCTAAATAACTCATATAGAGTTAGTGATTACCAAAAGCTTATTTTATGCAACTTTACAGTATTTTCTAGTTTTTTTCAGCCTTATATATCCAGTTATTTCAGGTCAGCCGCACTGAATATCAGCTTCTTGCTCCTGTTTTGCGGCTTCTGACTCTTCGTCCTCTGAGAGAAACTGGCTGATATTTGAATCTTTGCCCCAGGTTTTCCTGTATTTGAGACATGTTTAAGCTTTGTTTTACCCTGAAGGGTTCGCTTTCATGGATACACTTCTGTCCATCTACTAGTTTCCTTTCTGCCTTTGCAGAAACTGCTGAAGCTTCAGTCTCAGCTGTAAACACAGCATGTTCCGGGTTCACAGAAAAGATTCTTCATCAAAAGCTTTTTTCCAGCGCAGGCTGAGGTCTTGATATTAAGAGCGTCTCTGAAATAAATTCAGCATGTTTATGTTGAGACAGCATCTCTCAGCTCCACGGGCTCTGAAGATCATCTAGTTTACTGTAATCGGCTCCTGCTGTCTGCTCGTATTTCCTGAACACCATGAACTGCAGGATCTCGCAGGATTGAGAAAATACCTGTGTTTATGTAGTTAGACGTGGGCGCTGGAGCATTAATCCGACATCTGATGGTCTGGTTTATCCTGACTTTTACCAGAAATGTTTTCTCACACATGAACAGGCAGAAAACATCTCCACCCAACTCAAACACCTCCACGTGTGACACTGCAGGGATTTTCAGTCTGACGTCCCTGCAGATTCTCCTTCAGGATGTCTGCTAGTCTGATTCCTCCTACCTGAGTCCCCAATGCGATCTTTAAATACTGTACATAATTTTAAGTATCTATAAATAGAGAGGAGATGTAAACAGATGGGACATTATAGGCTCATTCTAGATTATTAGTGCATGAATGGCCACTAATGAGAGTAAAAAAGTGACAGAAAAGCAGGAGTGAACAGAACGCTCTGCTGGTCAAGCTGTGGGTGGTGACAGCTTTAATATTCATTAATGCAGATATCTGTAATGGAGCTCTCAAAACCACATTTTCTGATGTATAATAATAATTATAATAATCACACTTTAGTAATAATCATAATAATAATCCATTACATTTATGTAGCGCATTTTCTAGCACATTTACACATTTGGGAGGAATCTCCTCAGCTATAACCATGTGTGTGCAGCATCCACCTGGATGAAACAATGGCAGACATTCCGTGCCAGACTGCAGAGTGATGAAGCCAATTAGTAGATATAGGCATGGTTAGGATGCCGGAGACACACCTCTACTCTAATGACTTCAAAGTATTTTAAAGTGACAGGGCCTCAGTTTAACGTCTGATCTGAAAGACTGTGCTCAGTAACACCTCTTCCAGCAGCAGCCTCGTATTTTCCCATGTGGTCTCCTATCCAGACACTGACCAGGCTCAACACTGCTTAGCTTTAGTGGGCAACCATGTGAGAACAGCAAAGTGATAGCGTCTTGAAAGTAAGAGTGATAGCTGCTGGCAAGTATATTCACTTATAAACTTCACAAATATACAGTAGATGATTTTACATTTTGCATTTCCCAAAAATCTAACTTTTCAAAAACTTTAATGAAGCAATTCTGCATCATTAGAATTATATCAAGGTTATCCAAATAGTGTTTGTATGTGTATTTAGATACATTTTTGTCTTTTTAAATTAACATTAATTTAGAGACTCCCACTTATTATTGATTGCCTCTGCCTCCTGGATTATACGTTCAGCTTCAGTTATCATAAAATACTTTTTAATCATGGTTTTTAAAATTAATTTTCTTTCTGTATTATCTATGATTTTTGTGTTTGCTAACATTTTCTGATAATCTCATAAACATTGCTGCCTATCCAAGTTTTAGGAACAACAAATAATAAGTTGACTTCTAGTTGATCATTTGGTATCAGAAGTTGCTTATATGAAAGGCAACAGCCTCTAGATTATGCTTATTTTACCAAAATAAAATCTGATTTTTAATTATTTAATTAGGACAGTAAGTTCTGACTTTGCTTAGACAAAGGTCTTGTCATTTAACAGAAATAATGTACAGTATAAAATATAAAGTCATGGTGCAGTCAAAAAAGAATTAATATTGTGATTGACTCCAATAAGCTTGGACGACTGCATCCATACATCTCTGCTGTGACTTAAATAACTTATTAATAAAGTCATCTGCAATAGCAAAGAAAGCTTTCTTGCAGTAGTTCATCAAGATTCTTTGGAATCATATTCAGTGCCTCCTCCATCTTACTCCAGACATGTTCAATGTCTGGTGACTGGGCTGGCCAATCCTGCACCACCTTGACCTTCTTTGCTTTTAGGAACTTTAATGTAGAGGATAAAGTATGAGAAGGAGTGCTATCTTGCTGAAGAATTTGCCCTCTTCTGTGGTTTGTAATGTAATGGGCAGCACAAATGTCTTTATACCTCAGGCTGTTGATGTTGCCATATTTGTTGCCGTATTTGAGATGATTAGGATGCAGTTCAACAGATGATTTATCAGAAAATTCTACCTTCTGCCACTTTTCCAAATGATCAACTAGAAGTCAAATTATTTATTGTTGATCTTAGAACTGGGATCGACGACAAAAAAATATATCAGGTAGTGTATATACATGTGTACATAATAAATATGCACAGTAAACACACTTAAATTATGTCAAAATTAACTTTTATTTTTGAATGTGATTAATCAAAATAAATTTTTTCCCAGTACTACAAAAATATATTTTGTCTGTCCCTACGTTCTGGTCAACTCAGTTATACTGGTTACAGACATATAGTCTGTAAAGCACTGATAGATTAAAGAAATGTCTGACTTGCTTCAAGTGATGCCACTTCTTCTGGTGGGAAACTCTGGAAGGCATTGAGACATGACATTTAGTAGATTCATTGTGTCAACTCTTAGAATGTAAGAATGTTAAGCTAAAGCGGAAAATGTCAACTTAGTGATTTAAAAAGTTTAACAATTACTTTAACACCAGTTAGCAACAGATTATACATTTGTTGTATGTCATTCCAGTTTAAGGAAAGTGAATGGGAAATGTTTGAATTTTTGCAAGTCACATAAAACTATAGCCGCTTATGGTTCAGATTCTTAATTTATTTTGATTAATTATTTTTATTTCACTTCAAAGACACCAATGCAAGACCGGTTTGACAGCTTTTTATTATTTTCTTGTCATTTAAATAGCCTTATTTTGTCAATTTTGTTTGTGCGTCACAGATGGTTTTGATGTTTACAGCTGTCAGATTGCTTACAGATATCAGCTAAACCATTATTTCTGTCTAACATTTCTGGTGTTATTTATTATATGTCGACATCTGATGTAATTTAGTCGTTGTGGTGAAATAATTTTGTCCATCTTCACGCCAGGAAGCTCATTAGTGTGATAAAAATGCACCGCGATGAATCTAGTGATGGCAGTCTGAGCTCATTTGCATTCAGGAAAGTCATGTGACATCCAGTTTAATGAAGTTGAGGTGAAATGACTTTTCACCGCAGAATCTTAGAATAGTTCAATCACACATATAAATATTCCAGAGATTTATTTCATCTCACCTTTCTTTCCTCTGCAGGTTTCTGGCGGTGACGCAGTTTTCTCCGACTCACGCTAGAAAGGCCTTCCCGTGTTTTGATGAGCCCATCTATAAAGCCACATTCAGAGTGAGTCTGAAACACGAGAGCTCGTATCAGTCGCTGTCCAACATGCCAGTGGAGGCCACCACATCTGATGAGGATGGATGGGTGACCAACCATTTCTCCAGGACGCCCCGCATGTCTACGTATTACCTGGCCTGGGCCGTTTGTAACTTCACCTACAAAGAAGCAGTCGCAGACAATGGAGTCCTGGTGAGTCAGTTTAATTCTCCAAAACTCAGTTAGAAACAGCTGACTGCATTTTTATTGTTCCAGAATGCTTCACTAAAACTAGTGAGCAGCATTTTAAGGGATCACAGATGTGCTTTTGAAATGAAGACAGTATTCCAGAAGGTATTCTGCCTTGAAAATATCTCATTTAACAGATTCTGAGGTAGCATTCAATGTAGGTTTAAAAATAAAGATGATTCTAAGATGCACTACAAAGAGTTCAGCAATATAGTTAATCCAAAAATGCAAATAACGCTACATTAAAAAAAGAACACATTTGTAGTAATTATTTTCTTTGTAAGATTGAATCTTTTATAGTTTATGCATATTTTTAAGAATAAAAATTGAGTAAATAATTATACAAAGTTTCACTTTCAGTTTGTCGGACTTGGACTGCCAGTTTTCTCAGTTTCTTTTGGTTTCTTCAGTTGTAGGAAAGTTTCATACTTAGTTATTTAGTTCCTGAAATACCCTTTAACTAATAGTTTTCAGTTTGTTTATGCTTTGTTCATGATTATCATCATGACAATCTTGTTTTGAATTCGTATTTACTTTGTTTATTTGTCTTTGCTAAGCTCACTCTCTCTCTGTTTCTGTATCCTGACATTGTGAGTGTACAGTAGTAATTTTTTCAAAAATGTTCTGATACAAGAATGAGTGTTGTTAAATAGTTTCAGGACAACTTTGGTTAAAGATCTTCATTTACTTTACATGTACTGTATATAAATATTAAGTTGTTTTGACAATTAATGGAGCATTTGGGCTTGGAAATTGAGATACAGCCTGCCAGTTCATAAATCTGGCACTGATTTTGACCTCCCGTATCATATTCCATCTCACTTATGATTTATTTTTATGTTTGTGCACAGCTGAATGCACAGGCCTTCAAATATACTCTATTTGCATAGCATACGTGTACACAGGCACTTGACAGATGCTCCCTAGAAAGATCAATCCAGTTTCTGTCTTTTTCTCTTCAAAAGTGTTTGCACTTGTTTTAAACATATTTTCATGCCCTCACACATATACTATATGAATCAAAAATGTTTTAGCTCAGGTTCGTTGGAAATACGTGCCCGGCCAACTTCTTCTTTTTTTTTTGCAAAATGTGATGTATGTTGCTCCAGGTGTATTTCATTGCACGTTTCAGTAACAAATCCACCAGAGGGTGTTCTACATTTTTGTGAATCTGAAATACATTGCCTAGGGTATGTTTTTTTTTTCAAGCTCTGCTACGTTTCAGCTGCATGTCATTCTTGTATACATTCACAAGAAGGTGGGGCTTATTGTAACAATGCACTAAACCAGGGGTGTCAAACTCAGTTACTGAATGGCAACAGCCCTACATAGTTTAGTTGCAACCCTGCTTCAACACACTTACCTGTAGGTTTCAAACAAGACTAAAGGACTAAATGAGTTTTGTCAGGTTTAATTAATCAGGTTTGGAACTAAACTGTGCAGAAATGCGGCCCTCCAGGAACTGAGTTTGACACATGTACACTAAACCCATCCCTAAACCTAACCAATAGTGTTTTCAAAGCCAAATGTAAGAGAAAAGTGCACTGCAACCAGATAGTGATACCAGTAAATATCGAGAAGGACCTTACGGTTAAATTAAAAAATGCACTGTTCACACAGTCAAGGATGTTTTAGGTAAACAAACAGTGATTTATCATTTTATCATTACTTTTTTTACACAGATGACATTAAGAAGGAACATTGAAACGTTATCTGACTAACATCTTGCAGCTAAATGTGTCTGGAAAAACATTCAAAGGCTGTTATTTTCATTAAGAACGCAAATGTGAATACGTATAAATGTCAGCGTGTTCGAAACGTGAACACGCTGTTTCCTTCTGTGTTCACACAGAGCAGCATTCCAGCAAATTACCGGTAATGTTACAACTTCTTTTTCTGGAAAATTGCCGAAACGAATTTACTGGTATTTTCAAAATGAGCCTGTTCACACATGATCCCTTCTGAAAAAGGTCTCTATGTGTGAAAGGGGCTATACTGTAACTTTGAGTTGTCAATATGGAGATGGGTAAAGCATACGTACATGATCAAAAATCATAGACAACGTTAAGTGGTTTTGTGGTATTTATTTGTTATTGTGCTAAGAAATTAAAATACTTTTTTTTGTGGATAATATGTCTCTCTAGATATAATTAAAGAGAAAAAGAACAAAAGCTTTTGGCATCACATTGCCCTATAGCATTAATTTTACCTATAAACTGCAGTCAAACTTATGTTAAAGTTTGTTTTTGCATTTTCACAAAAATGTAGGCTTAAACACTTATTTATGTTTTTTGTGGCCTTTTTAATAGTTTGTCATTTTTTTCTTTTCTAACTGTGAAACAACAGACTGATTCAGTGTTGACTGAATCAACTTTGTGGATAAGCTAAGTAATGCAATTAGAAAAATCAGATGAGGCATTCACTGTTCTTTTGACCAAATATGTCTGGTATGCAAACTAAAAAACATGCTGGTCTTTAAAATGCAGCTGCTTATATAGGTAATAGACAGCATGTTTTAGAACAAAGCTATTTCCTTGCACACAGTCATTGTTTATATGAAGCTTACTGTAAATTCATACAATCAATATGTAATGGTTACACAATCAATATATATTGAATACATTAGTCCAGTGGTCACAAAGTCACGTGTGCAACTGGTGTCCACTTATTTAAGCTGATGTCCAGGATTGAGTTCATGATGAACTCATCCATGTTTTAAATGTCATATGAGAACATTCTTGAGGTGAAGTTTAGACATTAAGAAGCAGCTTCACTGTATTACTTTCATCACATGCACTTAAATGTTTTTATTTTGGGCACTGGATCTCAGCAGAGACGTGCTGTTTGTTACCGATCTCCCGTTCACTCAGAGTCCTGTAGTCATATTAGACACTTCCTGACGGCTTCCTCAGAGTCTCCTGCTGTTTGCCCTTGCTCAGCCTCCTCCTCATATTAGTGTAATTAATCTCTCTCCTTCAGCATGACCGCGCTCTCCTTTCTATCAAATCATCTCTGCCATGCTGACTGTGCTCTGTGCTTCTATCTGGGGCATTTATGCCCACACCGTGGCTTGTAGCGGTTAGCCGAGCGCCAGTTTCCCCCATCAATCACATTAAAGCGGCGGGGCAGCCCCTTCACTCCATTCATCATAAAGATTCGTCTGTGTGGAGCGAGAGGAAAGAGCGTGGGAGAGGAGAGTTGGAGAGGAGAGTGGAGTTATTACTCTGGGTTTATGGGCAAATACTGATCTACCACACGCACACGTGTAAAGATCTCATCAGACCTGAAGCCGTTGCCTGGACTTTATGGATTACGCTCTTTAAGAATATGGATGAGGAGAATCTAAACTCTGCTGACGTATGGGTGAGCCCCCAGTTTTCTGTTACAACCGCTAGAGGTAAGATGTAACAGTAAGGGGTATTTTTTATGAAAATGAAGAAAAAAATGAATTAAATGATTATATATAAAAGAATGTGTCAAATCAGAAAGATATGTAAAGTGTTTTATGCTCTCACCAGCCAATTATTAGGTACACCTGTCCAACTGCTAGTTAACAGAATTTTCTAATCCGCCAATCACATGACATCAACTTTATGCGTTTAGGCATGTAAACATGGTCAAAACGATCTGCTGCAGTTCAAACCGAGCATCAGAATGGGTAAGTGACTTTGAACTTGGCATTGTTGTTGGTGCCTGACGGAGCCTACAGCCTACCTGAGAACACCACAGCCTACCTGAGTATTGTTGCTGACCATGTTCATCCCTTTATGACCCCAGTATACACATCTTCTAATAGCTACTTTCAGCAGGATAACACGCCATGTCATAAGGCATGAATAATCTCAGACTGGTTTCTTGAACTTGACAATGAGTTTAGTGTACTCAAATGGCCTTCACACTCACCGGATCTCAATCCAATAGAGCACCTTTGGAATGAGGTGGGATGAGAGATTTGTTTCATGGATGTGCAGCTGACAAATCTGCAGCAACTGAATGATGCTACTATGTCAACGTAGGTCAAAATCTCTGAGAAATATTTCCAGTATTTTGTTAAATCTATGGCATCAAGGATTAAGGCAGTTCTGATGACAAAAGGGTGTCCAACCCGGTACTAGTAAGGTGTACCGAATAAAAAATCACATTACATGCAAACAGAATAAAATAAAATCCAAGTTAGCTTACCCAACTCCCTAAAGAAAAGCAATACAAACAGTTATAAAGTAAAATGGCATCATCTCCCATACTTTTCTTAAAATGGTAAAAGCTAAGTATACAAAATATACAATATACAAAATTCCAAGACGTATATAATTCAAAATCACAAAGCTGTTTCTTTAAACAGTCAATGGTCAATAAAGGGGAAAATCTGGACACAGTAACAAACAATAATCAAAATATCTTTCTCTCTGATCTGAAACACTAGGTTTACAGTAATCAAATTATTTTCTTAATCTAAATAAGACAATAACATGATTAAGGTGTTTACATGAGTTGCTTTTTGAATGTTTCTTTCATGATCCCGTTTTACATGTTATAGTGCGTAGATTGATTAATCTTGTTGTGTCACCATCCTATCCAACATTTCCTCCGCAATTTCATGTAATTTTATGTTTCAATTTTATTTTTTTACTTTAACTGCAGTTCGGCAGTTTCACTTTCATTCAGGAACCTTTCATTCATGCCCGCGTGACGAACAGAAATATTGGATGTGATCATGAAGTAAGGACTGGTGATGGAATGGAAAGAAAAAAAACCTCCGCATTTCATGACGCGGATGTCTGTGGTCCTTTTCTGACTCGGTAGTTGCAAAGAATAGTGTCAAACAGTGTGTGTATAAACTATCCTGTCGCAAAAAGTGGCAAAATGTCCTACATGACAGTTATAGTTTGATTTAGGTGTTTACATGTCTGTATGTGCACTTATATGCACAATAATGCAACTAAAATAGGAATACTTCACATGTC